AAACAACTTCTATACAACGAAAGGAGACTGCGACCACACAAAAGGCCACACCAACTTGGTCTTCATACCTACGCGCCTTTGTGTAATTGCTCCTGTTTATCGATTTACCTTCCGGAATGGGTAAGTTTCTGTCCCCATTTTTTGCGCATCCTCTATGCACTTGCCTATATTTTGCTTTAACCACACGCCATTAAATCCGTTTATCTTATTTTCTTTATATTTGCTTAAATAAGTGCATTTTTGAACCTCTGAATATCCCTTTGCTCAGATTTGCCTGTCATCTGTTCGGATATCTACATCTTTGTTTCCTTCCTTTCATACTTTTAAATTGTTATGTCGGTTGTCGTCTATACTGGATTGACAATTTTTATGTTTTTTATATTCATACTATCTACCGGCATGTATGATGTTTAGTCTTGGAGCCCCGATGCTCAGTGCCGGCCGACTACATTCGAACGCAGCCTCACATTTCGGCTTACTCAGACCAGATAGCCCCTCTAATTCACCTGAAGGATAACGTAATGTCCGGTTCAGGACAAATCCCAATCTGCAATCTGGAGCTCATTCCTATACCGCCCACGTACATTTCGGAGTCTTCTTCTTCTTCATCTTCATCCACCACTTTGTCGTCTTCATCATCCTCCCTTACCACCACTTCTTTCTCACTGTTTTCCTCCTCCACACCACGTAACTTGCTTCCCTTTTCTGAGACCTCATCAGATCACAAACTAACTTTGAGCGTTTCTGACTCTCTAATGGTTGGCGAACTGCTTGAATCTGGCGAGAAACAAGGCAAAGAAGTAGGACTGGGCATCGGATACAGGGAAGAGAACAGAACTAAGAAGGATGCTATCATCCACATAGGCCAATGCGAATGTGTTGATAACAGTAGCAGCATCGAAGTGTGCAGTACAGCCAAGAGGAGCGATAAAGTGAACCTGTCGTCAAGCCAAGATTCAAATGTGTCAAGCATTCATTGTCTAACCTCCCCGATTCCCCATAAAAGTGGGCTGATTTTAAGAGATGACGATGAAGAAGACGAGGAGGAGGTGAACGAAGAAAATGGAAGGAATATGGGAAGAGAAGGAATTAACAGCCAAGGAAGCCGAATAAAAGGAAGGAAAGGAGGAGCGGAAGGTGGAAGAGATAAACGGGGGAAAAAGGCAGGTGGAGGAAGAAGCGGAAAGGAGGGGAGAAGGGTAGCAGGGGACGGAGAGGGAGAAGGCGAAGTGGACGGAGTGGGAGGAGACAGCGAAGGTGGAACGGGAGCAAGAGGAGGGAGAAGAGGGGAAGGAAGAGATGAATGTGGAGGTAGACAAGAAGGAGGAGGAGAAGGAAGCGAAAGGGCCGTAATCCTTCATTCTCCATTTTCCGGTAAGCAAAATGTTATCACCAGCCCCTCGGAGGGCCAACTTCACTGGCCTCTTATGCTACCGAGGAGGACGACACCCGGACAAGTTGCTTCCACCTCATTTGCTGTCAACAGCGCTCTAGTCTCCTCCTCGCCATCTCGATCATCCGCAGTTCTGACGTCGCTCTCGGTTCAACCTTCACTTTCTCCTCCGCCAGCCTCTGCCACTCCGTCAAGCCTGGCTTACTCAGCCCATTTCCTGCCGACGCAAATACAGCTCGCCACCTCAACGCAGGGCTACACCAGCTCCGCGGTTCGCGGTGTTTCCGGCTGCTTCTACAAGAGTCCACAGTCCCCCTCCGTCAGACTGCTCCGACAGTCAGGCTCAGACCTGTCTGCCACGACTGGCAACTTGGATACCGTCTCGGAGAAGGCCGCGGCAGCCTGCCCAACGGGCGGTTGCGGCGAGATTGGTTTCGGAGGCCTGGTCCCCAACGTCGCTGAGCACGAGTCCCTGCCGACCGCCTACAGCCTGACTCGTGGTGGGACGGACACAGACGCTCACAGCCTCCAGCGGCTGTCTCGGCCGGCCTCGCCCGGCCCCGCTTGCCTCTCCGTCTCGGCAGTGGCCGCGCTGGTGGACAGACCGACGCCAGCTCGTCAAGCCCAGCTTCTGACGGCCTCATCCTTGCCTGCCGTCGCTCTCCCGTCTCCAGGCCGAGTGTCGGCAGAATCTCTCTCATCGGGTCCAACTTCTGCTGCCTCCGCCCTCTTCGCCCCGACCTACCGGTCTCCATCGGGTCGGTCAGCCTCGTCAGGTTTCTGCCTGCCGACCCACACACTGCCTGGAGACCCTCTGGGCCAGTTTCGTCTGCCTTGCCCCGGCCGGGACGAGGGTGGCGCGGTTGCTGGCAGCGGAGATGCCGGAGCGGCTGGACGAGGCAAGGCGGAACGAGGAAGAGTCGGCGAAAGAAGTGCAGAAATGGAAGGAGGGGTGGGCTGCGAAGGGGGGACAGAAGGAGATGGGGGCGATGACAGCATAGAGGACAACAGTTGTGCAGACAGTCCTGGAGGTATGATGGACTGCTACAGTCTGCCGGTGGGTCTGCATCAGGAGAAAAGAAAACAGAGACGTATTCGTACCACCTTCACAAGCGATCAGCTGAAGGAATTGGAGCAGGCCTTCCAAGAGACCCACTATCCGGACATCTACACGCGGGAAGAGATTGCCCTGAAGATAGATTTGACAGAGGCCAGGGTACAGGTGAGCCGGCATCTTGAAAGGCTTGGATAGAATGCTTCGCATACATAAACCTCATTTAGTTCTTGTCACTTAGCAACGATGGTGGGAAAAGCGTGAAAACGACTGTAAGTTGGATTCGATGAATCTCCTGAGATAACATTGTTAGGGGGACGTTCATTTCGAATTAAAGTGCATAAAGAAGAGATTCGTTGGTCGATGATGAGGATGGATGAAACTCGTTGTACTCCAGCCGTTTAGCTTTAGTGTTAACGTGAGACTTTTACAAGAATGACACCCAGCTCTGATGATGTCCATCAGATGATGGACGAAGGCTCAGCACGTTTCCACCCGAAACGAGGGAGGAAATCTCGTGGACTGCGTCAACGTGAATATCGTATGAAAGC